TGTACCCCAGCTCTATATGAATAAATAAATAAATCTTTTAAAAAAAAAAAAAAAAAGAAAGGTGACTCCCATGCGGCCGCGCAAGCTGGGGGCAGAGGTGACATCCTTTATATTCTCCTGACGTTTCTTCAGCCAGCGAAGGAGGAGAAAGGCAACCTTGGTAGATCTTACAAGAAAACATCACTCAGGGAGTCACGGGTTTAGTGTCACAGACAGGCACACTCCTGTTCAGCCGACTGCGGCCCCCAAAGAAAGAAAAACGTGGAAATCAAACAGCCACCGGTTGATGAGAGAGGGAAGTTAGGAAATACCCAGAGATTCGTGAAATGAAAATACAAACTGCCGAAAGCTACGGGACGTAGCAGACATTCTGTCGCTGTGTGAGACTCTAAACCCACAGCCGGACGTCACAAGTTAAGGAACCAGAACGAGAAAAATAGGCCTGCGCCGTGGAGGAAGGGCTCCCGGCACAGAGCAGACATCCGGGGGCGGCGCGGGGGTCAGAAACTGGGGGGTGCGCGGGGCTGTGGCCACGGCACAGGGTGATGCGGTGATGGGAGCCCACGGGGTGGCAACTGACGGGAAAGGCACAATCCGCGCGAAAATAAGCTAGTACATTACTAGGAGCAGAGATGAATAAACAGAGACTGGGAAAACAACGCAGTCAAAAGCTAGTGCTTTAGCTATCGCTTCTGTCTAAAGAAATGAAAAGGGCTCCAGTAGGATGCTGTGGACAAGGACGCAGGAACAGGTGAGATGGACAAATCTCTCGGGGGACAAGTTACCGAGGCTGAACCATGAAGACTAAACGTATGGACAAATCTCACTAGTAACAGGACAGCCGGTCACTGAATCCACCGGCCTCCTGGGCAGTGAGCGGTGTCCCCATCCCCTTAACCAGAAACCCTGCAGTTAGCGCTCGAGCAGCTAACACCTCACGTCCCAGACTTTGAAAAAAGAAACAAGCAGAACCGGGGAGAACCGGGGAGAACCGGGGAGAAGGCTCCCGAATCCCTCCCGTGAGGTCAGCTGATACCTGATGGCAAAGCCAGACACGGAGACGATGGGAAAAGCCGCAGCCAACGCCCCTTACAGTCCTGCGCCAGAGTCCTTAACGCAGCCTCAGCA